GGCAACCCGGGCATGTGCCCTGACCAGGAATCGAAGCCCGATCACCTGGATCCTAGGTCAATGCTCAACCGCTGAGCCACGCCCAGCCGGGCTTTAAGGCTACTTATTGAACACTTTCTGTGTGTCAGGCACTATTCAAAGCATTCAATATACAACATAAAAACAAAGTCTCAACTCTCAAGGAGCTTACACTAATGGAGAGATGTGCACAAATTTAAGAATGGTAGGGAGTGATCAATGCTCAGCAAAATAAAACATGAGAAAATGACAGAGCTTAAATATAGTCCTTACTCCGGATCCCCAAAATACAGCTCACTGTGGAAGACTTATACATAAGAATAAATAATTAGCTCCCTCATTTCGAATCACCCGAAAATGGACAAGTTTTTCCTGTATCATCAAGGAGGCTGACACTTTCAGAACAACGTAGTCCTCCACAAACAGGCTGAAAAATAATTATAATTTTATAATTAAGTAATTATAAATAAGCAAATTCAACATTTCAGACCATCTATGATTTTTTCTCTAGTTGTTAACAATATGACACTTTCATGCTAGGTAAAAAAAAATGCCTTAAAATTAGGATTTTATTTTGCCTAGTCCAGTCCTGGTCAAAAGACCTTAGAGTGGGGGCACTGCCAGGTAGCCCACAGTTAGTTAGAGCATCGTCCTGACACGCCAATGTTGCGGGTTTGATTCCCGTCTGGGCACATACAAAAATCAACCAAAAAATGCATAAGTGGAACAATAATCTGATATTTCTCTCTCTCTCTCTCAAATCAATAATAATAATAAAAAAAAGACCTTGGAGTGGGGTCATTCAAAGTGGGACTGTTTGTAAAAGGGATAATCTGGTAATCGCTGAATACAGAGAGACAATTTCAAGGGTAACCCAAAGAAAGGAAAATATCATCATGGCTTCAGTGTCCCCCGTTTCTTGCAAAGATAATGATTTAACTATTTCAGAGAAATCATATGTACGACATATTAACAGGAGTGAGCATCCAATGGTGTAATAACATCCTTTAGAAAAATCTCTTAATCTCATCATCAGAACTGAAAAGTAACATGAATTCTCATGTAAATCAACATCTCCCCTTCAGATAATACCACAGGCTTAAATGAATTCAAGAGAAAAAATTATTCAGATTATATAACTTCTTTTACACTGAAATACACTATCTTCATGTTCTTTGACACTGACTTAGATGTTCATTTGTTTCTACAATTGCCTTTGGCAGGGGCTAGGGAATTATACTATACAGGTTGATGGCAGGTATTATAATCCTGTATAACAAAGGTCATCTTTTCCAATAAAAATGAAAAAAGTCTCAAGTTAAAATGAAGGTCATCATATTACATAGCATAGAAATGTTAAGTATTTACTTTAAACACACATTATTTTGTCCTTGATTTTCTATGCAATTAAGGATAACTCAGAATTGGTGTGACTTCAAGACTCTAAAAGATCATCAATTGTAATTGCTAAGGATTTAACTACATTTCAGATTAAGAAACTGTAAGATATTACGCTAAACATTCCCTATAAATGAATACTTAAATATAAATGGAGAGTCACAAACATCCAAAACTACTCCAATACTTTGGCTTCTGAAATCAAATGAAGGAAAAAAAGGTTCCATCTTTAGTACCTGTCAATGTTTTTCAATAAGGTCCTACATCTAAATTTATTAAAATACAAAAATAAATCATTACCTCCAGACAACCAAAGATACACCCATCACCAAAACTGAAGCTTCTGTTCCTCTCCTCAGGTATATCAATTTGACTTGGAGATCTACCTGGCTACTACTAACCTTTTCATTAAAAAAAAAAAATCTATGCTTTGCTTTAAAAAAGCCACACAGTATTTACCCTCCCATGTAATTTCCTACACTGCAAAATGTTTTCTGGTTCCAGAAAGTAGAGTTTATGCTCAAATCTACACATACACATCATCTTCAAAGGTACAATTCTCTTCCACATGTAATAAATAATAGTTCGGTAAATGACAAACCAATTTTTTAAAATTAGCTATTTCTGATATTTAAAAAAATGACTTGTCATAAAGATGATATAAACTTATCAAAATTTACTATGTCAGTAAAAGGCATTAAAAGGAACTATTCAATCATGACTATAGTATAGCATTCTTATTAGTACGAATAGACGGTTTTTTTAAAGACAGGTAAAAGGTCGCCCCAGGCGGTGTGGCTCAGTTGGCTGGAGCATTGTCCCAAGTACTGGAAGGTCACAAGTTTGATTCCCAGTCAGGGCACATACTTGGATTGTGGGTTCGATCCCCTAGGGGGTGGGGAGGGCATAGGGGAGGCAACCAATTGACGTATCTCTCTCACATCAATGTTTCTCTTTCTTCCTCCCTCTCTAAAATAAAAAATAACATAAAATAAAGATAGGTAAAGGATCTTGAATACAAAAGCCATTCTAGTTCCAAAACGAGTTTAGACTCAAGACTTTTAATAGTTTTAATAGTACTATTTTTCTTTCCCAAGAGGCTATTTTGAAGGTATTTTAAAGAGGGATGAGCATTTAGGTTCTGTCCCCCAAAATAACATGAAGTAACAGTAAATACCAATATAGTAAATGTACTACATGATTCAATTCAATTTGACAAACATATACCATATGAGACCAACGTACACTTTCATCACTAAGCCAAATTGGTAAACCTCTCATTTTGTCTTTCAAACTTTGTGTTCCATGTCCAATTACTGCAAAACAAACCTAAGTTCTATACTATGACCTACTTTAAATATAGTCAAGGTGTTAAAAAATATATATATAAACTACTATAAAGATTAGCCTTTATACCTTTATGTTAGTCTTAAAATTGTTCAAGTAAGATCTAACTTAATCAGTAGAGAATTCTGTAATATGAGTACTCACTGAAGAGATATTAAGTTTATTTAGTAAGCAAACTGCCACATAAATAAGCCACCAATATGCTCTCATATCAAAAGTTATGCTATGGAAGGGATTTACACTTCAGATAGAACTTTATCATATAATCTTAGGAAAACAAATGTCAGTCACCCTAAACTTCCAATTATCCAAAATTCTAAGAATGATCCCCCCAAATATCTGATATTCCTTCTTACATAACATGGCTACAACTGAACATGAACCAAGAGAAAAACAGGTTAGATAAGGAAAGGGTTAAGGTGTGCAACAGGTAGCAATCACTGTAATTAACAACAACAAAAAAGTCTTACCAGGACAAAAATCAGATTCCTTGTATCTTCCCACAACTACCTTGTTAAAAAATGTGAAAACTTTTGTTTGATGAAAGGCTCTTCCTTTGAAAGACTGGATCCCAAGATCCCTCAGATATTAATGTAACAGGTCAACAATTCTACAAACTTGACATGTAAGCGTAATCTTTCTTTTATCCCAAAGTTTAATCAAGAAAGGTCAAAACAAAATAATTCCTTAATGTACAAAATTCCACTACTGATACACTTTATTCCTAAAAGTCAGATATAAAGAATTATAATCTCAACACCTGGATTGGGAGACAAGAAGCAAGTCTCTGAAATAAGGCTTGCCAGGACACATGCCTGCTCGATATACTTGCCAATACACTCCACACCTTTTTACCAGTCGCATCAAGGGGGAGTGGAGATGATCAGAAAACGGGTTAAAGAATTACTATTTTTCCCCTCCAAACTAAGTCTAAAAAATGCAGAGCCAAATAAACCACCATAAATTCCTTCAGTGATTTTCTAGGTCTTTCAGTTCACCAAATTTCACATCATACATACAAGTTTGTGGCTTTCCTCATACCCCACTCTACAAACACAAATTCAAATTTCTGAAATAAATATATGGTGAGAATATTAATAATGCTCTCTTTGACTAGGGAAACAAAATCAAGTTCTTAACTGCAATAGGGAAACCTTGAGAGAAAAACAGGGCCTAAAAGGAACATGTATTCATATGCACATACAAGCTAATTCCCTCCAAATCATTACTAAGTAAAAATTTCTTTCAACAAGATGTCATACATTCCTCCCAAAATATAAAATACAGAATTTCATCAACATCCAGTATTCTACCTTTTCTCAATCAACTGCCCCCCCCAACCTACCTTCCAAACCTATCAAAGCATTAATTTGTTTAAAAAAAAAAAAAAAAAAAAAAAAACACAA